ACAAAAATAATTTGTAAAAATGGTAAGCTTCAGTATCTTATATTATGTGTTAAACTGTGGAATCAAATTCAAAATCCTGGCCAGGAATTATTCTGGGCACAAGCTATTTCGGGTGCTCCTCCGACCCGGAAGTGCAGCCCCAGTAAGAGCAGGTGGCGGCAGCGGGTGTTGCCGCTTCCTGGATAAACGAGTCCCTCAGACCTTATCCAGCCCACGGGCCTTAGTTTGGGGACCCTTGTTCTAGCCTATTATAGCTACTTACAAACATGTTTCTGGTCTCCTCATGTGTAAAGCAGGAGTGGGATGAGGGACTGTGAGAGATAAAGCTATAGTCCACTTTTAAGAGTTGAGAGCCTGGTGGGTACTGACTGAGAGCTGGCTGTGCCTTGTCAGTCAGGCAGATAGTTTGACACCTTTTGGAAGTTGGGGAGATATCTATAGCACTGATAATTACTTCTTGATTTCACCATGTCTTTGCCAGACAGCACTTATCAGTCCTTTGTGTGCTAAAGGGAAGGTGTGACTTCTCCCCTAAGGCTGAATGGGAAACAAGTAATTAGAGGGTTTTGCTGCAGCATTATTTGCTGAGATCCATACATTCTCACTTTTTTGGCTTTAAAATCAGCAACTTTAAATGCTACATATAGTATTTCAACTTTTTATAAACATTTTGTTTCTGATGTAAAAAAGGATGAAAATTTTGAAAGTTAAGTAATTACATCATTTTTTTAAAAATAAAAAACTCACTTTATCTATTTCTTAACCTGATGAAAATAATTTATTGCATTTTGCTAAGTGTAGATATATTCATGGTGGGGTATTACTTCTGGGTACTAGGAAATAATGGTCATTTTAAAAAACCTAGCTAGAATCTGTGAAGCCCTGTCTTAATATGGTATTGTAACAGGAAATTTAAAAAGAAAATGTCATAGGTGATATTTCCCTGTAAATTATAGCAAATTTGATTTATTAAATTGAAGGCCACCACACACTTTCTTCAATATGTGAAAAGGTATGTTTCTGTTCCAGAAAAAACTCCATACTTCCACTGTACATTCCACTGAAAGTCACTCAACAGTAATTAATATCCCATAAAACTTCCTAGTTGAGCAGCTTTACACTCTCAGTCTGTTTCTTCACATAATAACCAGAAAAGATAAGCAGAAATCAAGAAAAATAAAGTGTACACCATTTGCCCTCTACACCATTTGCCAAATGATTGATACTCTGTCAAAGGACTAATCGTAGCTGCTATATAATCTTCATGTAAACTTGCTGACATTTGAATAAAAAGCAAGTTGACATAAAGATTCACTGAAAGCCTATTTCTACCGAGTATCTTTGGGGGCCTTCAAAAGAGAAAGATTAATGACAGAGCTATCTGTAGTGTTAATGTATTTATTAATGACACAGCAGGTTTGATACTTCTGGTGCCTATTCCCTTCAGACTGTAAACATAGTGAAAGTATCTTTGGAATATTACATTTTCCTGGAAGTTATCATGTTTTTATAAGTGAATTTACTTGGATTACACTGCAGTGACCTGTGACACCTGTGCCATGTTTGTCATTCTGCCGGAAAACATGCGGCAGTACACTTGTAGCAAGTGCAAACTGGTTGTCTTGCTGGAAGAGAAGGTACAGAACTTGAGGCCCGCCTAGCCATACCTCGAGCTATAGGACAACATGCAGCTTCTCAACAGAGCTGAGTGGACTGTGATGGTACAGCAACACAGGTTGGGTGCCCCTAGGGAGCAGGAAGATCACCCAGTGCAAGAGATGAAATGCCAGGAGGAATGTGACATACAGAAGTGGGACGGTCACAAACCGCACTTTGTCTTTAGAGTTGCAAAATTGCTTCCATGCTCTCACCTTGGACACAGATTCTGGTGTCCAGAAAAGCTAGGCAGCAGTTGCCAACCTCAAAATACACCAAGATGGCTGTGAAAGGTACAGTGTGCAGAATTCCTGCCATGCCTCAGAGGTGAAAGAGACAGGAGGGGATGGACTTGGAGGGAACTGGGCATATTTAGCCTGGAGAAGAGGAGGTTGATATGATAGCCATGTTCAAATATATAAAAGGATGTCATATAGAGGAGGGAGAAAGGTTGTTTTCTGCTGCTCCAGAGAAGCGGACACGGAGCAATGGATCCAAACTACAAGAAAGAAGATTCCACCTAAACATTAGGAAGAACTTCCTGACAGTAAGAGCTGTTTGACAGTGGAATTTGCTGCCAAGGAGTGTGGTGGAGTCTCCTTCTTTGGAGGTCTTTAAGCAGAGGCTTGACAACCATATGTCAGGAGTGCTCTGATGGTGTTTCCTGCTTGGCAGGGGGTTGGACTTGATGGCCCTAGTGGTCTCTTCCAACTCTATGATTCTATGATTCTATGAGTCTTTTTCCATTCTTGACCTAAGTCCTTCAGATCCTAGGCTACTGATGGTAGATGAGGATGTTGATAACCCACTTGCTACCTTCCATGGAGACATCAGAGAAATGGAATTGCAGTGTAGAGAAGGCAAGCTGAGAGGAACAAGTAGGAAGTACCCAAACCATAAGGTTCCACCCCTTGTAACCTATTCTAATAATATTCAGATAAGCTCCAACAGACAGAAGGGGAAAACTCAAGAACAGCAGTAGCAGACCTTAGAACACTCCAAGCAGGCTTTGGAAGTGTACAGAACGATTCCTGCCACTCCACAGAGGAGGAAGAGACAGAGGCAGGGTGTCCTGGGAGGTGTGCTATCTTCCAGGTGCAAAGATTCATGATGTGACTGTGAAGTTCCCAAGTCATAAAAAACCCACTGATCACTACCCCTTCCTTCTGACTCATGTCGGTACAAATAATACCAGCCTTCAAGGATTATGAGACTCTGGGCAGGGAGCTGAAGAGACTTGGGGCACAGGTAGTCTTTTCATCACTCCTTCCTGTTGAAAGTCGTGGTCCAGGAAGAGAGAGGAAAATACTGGAGGTAAACCACTGGGTGTGCAGGTGGTGTTTTCAGGAAGGGTTTGGCTTCTTGAATCAAGGTCTCCGCTTCAAGAGAGCTTTAAACTTCAGGGGGAGGGACAGAGGAACTCATGGTACTGGGGATAATAGCTTCATTGATGCACAGGAAACTGAGGTGGTGCTCCTGAAACCTGCTTTAGGGCAAGATATCACAAGAAGAAGGCAGCTGGAGGGAGTGACTCATGGTTTCAGTTGTCTCTACACAAATGCACAAAGTATGGGAAACAAGCAAGATGAATTGGAGCTTTTAGTACAGGTAGGCATTACTGCAACCTGGTAGGATAAGACTCATGAGTGGAATGTAGGAATTGAGGGGTATAACCTGTTCAAAAGGAATAGACCAAACAGGAAGAGAGGAGGAACAGCATTATATGTAAATAATGTCTACAGTTGTGAAGAAATCCATGACCTGGAGCATGGAAAGCAGATTGAGGGAATATGGGTAAAAATTGTAGGAGAAAGAAACAACAGTGACCCTACTGTGGATGTCTGCTATAAACTGCCTGAAGACTGGATTATGACTTCAAAAAGCAGATTACCAAACATTCAAAAAGGAGAGATACAGTAGTCATGGGAGACTTCAATGTCCCAATATCTCAGCGGTTCTCAACCTGTGGATCCCCAGATGTTGTTGGACTACAACTCCCATCATCCCTGAGCTCTGGCCTTGCTAGCTAGGGGTGATGGGAGTTGTAGTTCAACAACATCTGGGGACCTACAGGCTGAGAAAGGCTGCAATATCTGTTGGAACTCCAACTCTGCCAAGAGTCTGGTTTGTTTCCGGGGGGAGCGGGCGACTGCAGAGGCTCCTGTTTTGACCCATAGAGCCCGAAATCCAGAACCCCCAGGTCAGGTAAGTGTGGGGTGGGGTGGCAATGGGAAGGGCTGGGCAAGGGGACCTGCTTGTTTGCCTGGGGCTCCGATGTGCCACCCCCAAGGTAAGTGCCACCGGGGGGCCCCCCCCTGCCCCCGGCTGCGCTACTGGGTTGGATGGCCATCTGCCATGGATGCTTCAGCAGAGTTTCCTACGTTGAGAGGGTTGCACTAGAAGGATGACCCCCGGGGTCCCTTCCAGATCTGTTTTTCTGCTTCAACAATATTTCATCATGTTCTTACCATTTTATGTAATTGTATTTTGTATATATTATAAATTTCTAAACAAACATGTTCTATTTACAAACAAAACATTTAAATAGCTACCTTTCTACCGGTAGGACGGGGTGGTGGCACAGGAAGGAAACAAGGTGGGAAGGGGAACACGGTCGCAAAAGGTTGGGAAACACTGCTTCAAGGGATGCTGGTTTGTCATTTGAAGTATGCTCACTGAGGAACGCTTGACCAGCGACAGGACTAGCTCAAGACATTTTGCTGCCTGAGGCGAAGGACAAGATGGTGCCCTCCCCTGGGGCACATACAGAAGCCAACAGGACTAGTAGTTGAATCTTATTCCAATACTGGTGAAAGGACAGGCTCACATAGGGGCCACATGGCACTCATAGCTCTGGTCACTCCCAACACCTCAGCATCCTTCACTTGAGGCAGATGCCTAACTTTGCCTCATCGTAGGGCCGGCCCTGACTAGGGATGCTTCAGGAATTTGATACTGTGAATTCTAACACAAACTGATCTGCTCTGAGATTCTTAATTCCCAAATATTCCAACACAGTTCTTGGATCAAAAAAAGGCCTATCAATATATGTTTTGAAGCATGTGTTTTGAGAGAAAATACATATTTAAGATGTGATTTTTGTAAGGTTTTTTTTTAAGTTCACAGATTAAGGAAAAGGATAGAATGGTGTTATGGATCAAAGAAAGTGATATATATCAGAAATACACTGATTTGCTTCTGCCTGAGACCCAGTAACCCAGGGTTCCTTATTTAGAACAGTTTGCTATAGGGAGAAGCATTTCCCAAGCGTGCCAGGCGATAGAGCAGCAAAATGAGTGTTAAAGATGATTTCTAGGAAATTTTAATTAAAAAAAACACCTTACCTTAACTGTATAATACTCCTTTACTTCAGGCATAATAGAATCAAAGTCCCCACTGATGTAATCAGGCAAAAAGCTGAAAAAGAAGTAATACTTAGTTAGATATTTTTTATTAAGCTTCTCACACTTTATTTCTTGAATTTAAAAAAGAGAGTGTTGGGGGGGGGAGCAAGACTGAAACAGTGGTGTCCTTTTCCAAAGTTAACATCAATAAAATGGATTGAAATTTCCAATCTTCCCTTCTAAGAAACTAATGTCTTGGACTACAATAATTTGTGGTTACTGGACTGAGATCAGCCCGACTGATGCACAGATATGTAACATTTATCCTTGAAGATACTAAATGAGTGAAAATTATAGCACGTATCACAATTCATTTCACAACTTTGGTACTTCTTCTGCTACAAAGTCACTCAGAATCTTATTAATGGGCTGATTTTCCGTCTCTTTTATAATTCATAGCATCTAGGCATGTTTGTGTATTCATCAGCAATGGTTAGGGAAAGAAAGAATCCATCCAGTTAGAGGAGACAGCTCTCCTATAATTTTACCATGGATGAGCAGCATAGTCTGCAGAGATTATTCTCCATGCTGGGTTTCCAGGGTTGCAAGAAACTACCGTAGATAAGAGTTCCCCCCACATATGTACAGCACAGGAAGCATCACTGATTACATGAATATGAAAATCTAGAGTAGTTATTCCTATTTTCTCCCACCCACACGTGCACTTGCAGAAAGGTAGTTTTTCAACACGTTTTGGAAAATATTATTTTGTTAATATTTGAGGACATTTGGAATTGAAGTTGCATGTGTATTCTGGTGAATGTTAACCTGCAGTGACTTACATTTCTGCTCACAGAAAGGCTTACAGCTACCTAGAGATTGAAAGGCAGCAGTTATCCTGGAGACTGAAATGTAATGTATGAGCCCTTAATGCACTGCTGCCAAGTCCAGAAGCTGTGCCATGCTCAGCAAACAAAGCATGGATCTGCCGGTCTCAGTGGCTCCCACTGCATGACACACCCAACCACAATCTCAGATCCTGCTCTTGTAACACCAGGCCAGGGGCATTAAATCTGAACCTCACAATATTTTAATTCATTTTCACTTTTAATTTGTATACCACCTTTCTATATTGCTATTCACAAGGTGGTTTGCAAGCTGAAGGAACAACAAAATATACAACAAATATCACACATCTTAGAACAATCCAATCCAATCCAAAAAAGTCATAATAAAAATATGACTTTAAAATAAACATCTTATACCAAATAAAGTAATAGTCAATAATTGATTAGACTATAATAGGGCATAATAAAATTACCTCTCAGAATAGCAAGTGAACTGAAATCCACTCTCAGCAATTACAATAAGCAATTACTAAACCAAACTATAATCAATAAAAATAACAGCAAGTCACAATACATAAAATTAGGGCTGCCATATGTCCAGAATTTCCCAGACATAGCTGGGATTCGGCCTTCGGAAACAGTGTCTGGGTGGAAATCTCTGGAATGTCAGGGGAAATGTTGGGAGTGTAGATTTTGGCGAATTTTTTTTTTAAGTGTCTCCAAACCAGTGGCTGTTCATCAGTGCCAGGTGCGGAGCCCACTTGTCCAGCCCTCGCCACTGACGCTGCCAGGTGGGGGCTCACAGAGCGGGGGCAGAGGGTGCTCTTCCCCCTCCCCAGCCCCTGCTACCAATGGGTGAGCACTGGTGCGCCGAGGAGTGGAGGGTAAAGAGACCTTCCACCCTCCCCAGCCCCTGCTGCTAATGGAAAAGAGCTCGCATGCAGGGTGGGGCATGGTCCATGTGCCCTCCCTCCCCACGCCAGTGCTCCAAACCACCTTCATCTTTCCCCCTCCTTTTCGGAAATATAAAATGGGAAGAAGTGTGGAACCTCCTGCTTTAAACCAGGCAAGTCTTATTCTTCACTTCTTCAGAAGAGGGACTGCAAAGCCAGCCTGACTTGCTCGTTCCTCTGGAGAACTTTCCATGCAGAAGACACAGACCTTTGGCTGGGCTGGAATTGTAAGCTGGGAATATATGTTTCAATGCACAGTAGCTGACCAGGGATGGGGAACCTATGGCCCTCTCTGGGTGTTAAGACTACAACATAAGCATTGTAGTTTGTTCTTTTTAGCAGTTTGTTGGCTTTTCCAGGCAACTAACACCATAATTTCAGGACAGGAAACTGGCAGAAATATTCTATGGCAAGACAGAACTTCCTAGCATATTGTGCCCTTTTATTATTAAGTTCTGAAACTCCAAAAAACAGGATTTCAACATTGGTGTTAATGCTAAAATAAGGTTTAAGATTAAGATCATAAAAATGCCCCATGTAGTAAGGAAATGCAAAAGTGAGCAATTCAGTAATTGCTCAGGGCTTTTTTTTGGCACCTTAATTGTCCCAATTATGCCTCGATTCTTCACTTAATGGCGCATCTTTTCCATTAGCTTTTCTTGTCATTGAATGTGATTCCAGATCTGACTGGAACATTGAAAAAGTAACAGACAGGATACTGTGGGGCTCCTATCATAGCTTTCAAAAGCAAGCATCATAAACATCTACAGTTCCCTTAAACATCCTGAATAGCCCTATGCAACTGCTGATCATCCATGAGCCGACAGTTATCAAGGTTTATTTATGTTTCATTCTGTTGAAAGGGAATAATTTGTGTGCTCCCTTCCTAGCTACACGGTCTTTTATATATTAGTCATTCAAATAATATGCTATGTGTTTGAGCACTTTATTTGGTTTTCGTTTTCTTAATGACTCTCTGGACAAGAACTATTCAGAACAAGGAAAGGTTGAGTTGCTATACGTTTTATTATGAACTGTTTTAACTATAAGCGCATCCCCTCCACATAACTATAACATATACCTATTACGCCAGTCCAACACCAATGCCAGTCTCTAGAGTCAGTGACAGCCACTCAAACCTCAGGCAATGCCTCTGAAAGGGTATGAAAAGTTCCAGTGTGGCTTTTTGGAGAGCGCAGGAGGCTGTGGCTGGAAGGCTGAAAATGGTCTGCACATCTGCAGTTAATGGTGTGCAGATCTCTGGATCCTGGCCTTTGAGATGTCAGGAGTGGAGTGAAACCTTACAGGTATTCTGTTACTCTGCTTCTACTTCTTTCTTGATGCCAGTAATAAGTACCCCTAAAAGTTAACAAAGCATCATGTTTGGGACTCATAAAGCCTATAAGCAAACAAAACCCTTCTTCAAGACCTGTGGGCATTTTATTCTGTTTTAAACCTTCAATGCCATATCTCCTGAATATATGTCATCTTTGCAGTAAACAACACAATAACTGTGCTGCTGGGGTATTTAATTTACTTTAATCACCTCACTTGGTATTCTATATCAGCTTATAAATTTTATGTATGCTGGCATGGCTTGTACAATCTATTTTCCTCCCAATTAGCAGTTACAATGATCCATGGCACAGTCTATAGAAAGTATCATGGAATACAGCAGTGAGTATGCGGAAACAGTTGAAAGCATGTGGCAAGTATTATGTACTTGATTCTGCATGACTCCTTGGCGTGGCAACTGCACTTACAGTCAGAAAACTGTGATAGTCACAGTACTGTTACTGTGCACATACAGTCAGTGCAGGGTGGTGGATAGAATCATAGAACTGTAGAGCTGGAAGGGACCCTGAGGGTCATCTAGTCCAACCCCCTGCAATGCAGGAATCTTTTGCCCAACAGGCTTGAACCAAGCTTCAAATCCTTGCTCACTGGGTGATTTTGGACAAGTCTCTCAGCATTGCCTACCCTGCAGGGATGTTGGGAGTCTAAAATCAGAGTAAAGCCATGCATGATGCCCAGAGCTCCTTGGAGGAAGGGCAGCATATAAATGCAACAAACAAACAAACAAATCTGGATTACAGCCAATGGACACAGGCCAAACTCCCGCTGCTAGAAGTGGAGTCCTTCTTTATGACTTCCCTTTCACATTTAATGCTTATAATGGAAGGGTACTGTAATGGGTAAGGATGCGGGTGGGGCTGTGGTCTAAACCACAGAGCCTAGGTCTTGCCGATCAGAAAGTTGGCAGTTCGAATCCCCGCGACGGGGTGAGCTCCCGTTGCTCGGTCCCTGCTCCTGCCAACCTAGCAGTTTGAAAGCACCTCAAAGTGCAAGTAGATAAATAGGTACCGCTCCGGCGGGAAGGTAAATAGCTGTATTGGGTAAATGTCAGTTTCCACTCCTGATTAAATCAATGACAAGATGAGGCATGCAACTATGTATAACCAGATATAAGTCTAGTGAAGGTTCCCCAAAAGCCAGGAAATCACTGCTTCACCGTGGCAGCAGGCTGTGTTACATGACTGTCAAGGTTCCTTCCAATTCTGTGTGTTGGTTGCTAGTTGCTAGTTGCATGCTTCCAACGTGGAATGATAGCTTCAGTTGTACATGGTGCATCTGCAATAGCACAACTGGACGCCTTCATCCACCCCAGCGGCAACAAAACATGTCTCTCCCACATTGGTTTCTACAGCCATAGCAGGAACTGTAACTCCTCAACGGTTTGGCTCTCCCTACCCAAAAGTGCACTCTTCCATTGTCTCCCAAGACAGGTGGATGCCAACCGGGAACCAAACCACTCCTGTCAGTAAAAAACTGTAGTGGGGTTACCAAATGGTTAAGTATGTTTTAATCCCATGCTTTTAACTGATGAGTTAATCATTCCAAACACACCCTGGAATAAATACCAAGCTATCAAATATATAGATGCCATTTTGTGGTTCCTTAATGAAGGTAACAGTTGACTAAGTAACAGACATCTCATTTATTTTTTGGAAGGTCATCTTTAAATGCACATAACCAATCAAGAGATGCAGAAAGATGATTTATTTTTTCAATCGTTGCAGTCTTTCACAGTGGGTATTTTTTAAGTTCACTTCTGCAAAAATATCAATCACTTAATCACACTGATTACCTAAATTAATTGTTATAGCTGAAGCCAAATTCTAAAAGTATAGTCATGTTAAATGAGGCTATCTGTGCTTTTGAGGATTTTGAGCAAAGGTTCACAATCAGATTGGACTCTTTTCCACATGGCA